TCTATAGATCATTTTTCCCCATTCTTCAATTTGTAGAAACAAAATCAAACAGTATATACTCTTGTGTCTGGCTTCCGTCACTCATCATTAAAGATTAAAGATTAATCTGTTTTGTTGCATGTATCAGTTTATTTATTTTTTTTATTGCTGTGTGATACTCTATTGTGGGAATGTATCACAGTTTACAGCATGCGTTTGGAACACCTGGGATTGAGTCTGGCATTGGGCTCCCTGCTCAGCTGGGAGCCTGCTTCTCCCTCTTCCTCTGCTGCTTGCGCTCTCTCTCTCTCTGTCAAATAAATAAAATAAAAAATCTTAAAAAAAATAAACAACATGGGTTTGAACTATGCAGGTCCACCTATATGAAGATTTTTTTTCCAATAAATATATGTATGGTGCTGTAAAGATATTTTCTCTTCCTTGTGATTTTCTCTTTTTTAATAAAGATTTTATTTTTAAGTAATCTCTACACCCAGTGTAGGGCTCAAACTTACAACCCGGAGATCAAAAGTCGCATGCTCCACCGACTGAGCCAGCCAGGTGTCCCTTTATGATTTTTAATTTTATTTTTAAATTTATTTTTATTTTTTATTAACATATAATGTATTATTTGTTTCAGGGGTACAGGTCTGTGATTCATCAGTCTTACACAATTCGCAGAGTTCACCATAGCATACCTTCCCCAATGTCCCAGCCACCCCATCCCTCCTACCCCCCTCCATTCCAGCAACCCTCAGTTTATTTCCTATGGTTAAGAGTCTCTTATGATTTGTCTCCCTGTCTGGTTTCATCTTGTTTCATTTTTTTCCTCTCTTCCCCCATGATCCTCTGCCTTGTCTCTCATATTCCACGTATCAGGGGGATCATATGATCTGTCTTTCTCTGACTGACTTATTTTGCTTAGTCTGAGCTTGTCCTTTCAATGGTTTCTTTTGACCAATGAAAATATTTAATTTTAAGAAAGTCCAATTTATCCATTTTTAAATTCATGGGTGGTGCTTTTGTGTCCTATTTTAAAAGATCTTTGTCTATCTTTTTTTTTTTTTTTTAAGATTTTACTTATTTATTTGACAGAACACAAATAGGCAGAGAGGCAGGCAGAGGGAGAGGAAGAAACAGGCTCCTTGCTGAGCAGAGAGCCCGATGTGGGGCTCGATCCCAGGACCCTGAGATCATGATCTGAGCTGAAGGCAGCCGCTTAACCAACTGACCCACCCAGGCACCCCAGATATTTGCCTATCTTAAAGTCATGAAGATCTACTTCTCTGTTTTCCTCTAAAAACGTTGTTTTAACTTTCACACTTAAGGTGTTTTTGGATGATGTGAGGGAGGGGTCAATGTCCTTTTTTTTTTTTTAAGATTTTATTTATTTATTTGATAGAGACACAGTGAGAGAGGGAACACAAGCAGGGGGAGTGGGAGAGAGAGAAGCAGGCTTCCAACTCAGCCCGATGTGGGGCTCGATCCCAGGACCCTGGGATCATGACCTGAGCTGAAGGCAGATGCTTAGCAACTGAGCCACCCAGGTGTCCCCTCAATTTTTTATCCACCAAAGGATATCCAGTTAACCCAGAAGATTTTCTTGAAAAAACATCCTTTTTCCCATAAATTGTAGTGGAGTCTTTTGTCATAAACCAGATGACCATACATTTGTGGATCTGTTAATAATTTTTTTTTTTAAATTGAGTTCTAATAAGTTTTTTAAAAATATTACACATTCTTCACAAAGATTTTGAAGCATCTCTGAGGATAGGATCTGGACAGCTAGTTTTTAACAACTACTCAAATGATTGCAGTAAACACTGAGGAAAGCTACTGAACCACATTTAATTTAAGACTAATTATGAGGCCAACACGAGTCAAATGTCCCTGGAGTCTTTTCGGGTATCCATATCTCTTTTGTTAAAATCCCTTCCTAATGTCCCAGTTTCATGACATAATTTTTAAAATCAAATTTAAACAGCCCTAAAGTATACCATTAATTACATTCTGCTTTAATTATAATGTTAATTGGTCCACGTCTGCTAGCATGACACCTTTCACTGGATGCAATTGTAAATGGGATGGACTCCTTAATTTCTCTTTCTTCTGTCTTGTTGTTGGTGTAGAGAAATGCAACTGATTTCTGTGCATTGATTTTATATCCTGACACTTTACTGAATTCCTGTACAAGTTCTAGCAGTTTTGGAGTGGAGTCTTTTGGGTTTTCCACATATAGTATCATATCATCTGCGAAGAGATAGTTTGACTTCTTCTTTGCCGATTTGGATGCCTTTAATTTCCTTTTGTTGTCTGATTGCTGAGGCTAGGACTTCTAGTACTATGTTGAATAGCAGTGGTGATAATGGACATCCCTGCCGTGTTCCTGACCTTAGCAGAAAAGCTTTCAGTTTTTCTCCATTGAGAATGATATTTGCGGTGGGTTTTTCATAGATGGCTTTGATAATATTGAGGTATGTGCCCTCTATCCCTACACTTTGAAGAGTTTTGATCAGGAAGGGATGCTGTACTTTGTCAAATGCTTTTTCAGCATCTATGGAGAGTATCATATGGTTCTTGTTCTTTCTTTTATTAATGTGTTGTATCACATTGATTGATTTGCGGATGTTGAACCAACCTTGCAGCCCTGGAATAAATCCCACTTGGTCGTGGTGAATAATCCTTTTAATGTACTGTTGAATCCTATTGGCTAGTATTTTGGTGAGAATTTTTGCATCTGTGTTCATCAAGGATATTGGTCTGTAGTTCTCTTTTTTGATGGGATCCTTGTCTGGTTTTGGGATCAAGGTGATGCTGGCCTCATAAAATGAGTTTGGGAGTTTTCCTTCCATTTCTATTTTTTGGAACAGTTTCAGGAGAATAGGAATTAGTTCTTCTTTAAATGTTTTGTAGAATTCCTCTGGGAAGCCGTCTGGCCCTGGGCTTTTGTTTGTTTGGAGATTTTTGATGACCATTTCAATCTCCTTACTGGTTATGGGTCTGTTCAGGCTTTCTATTTCTTCCTAGTTCAGTTGTGGTAGTTTATATGTCTCTAGGAATGCATCCATTTCTTCCAGATTGCCAAATTTGTTGGCGTAGAGTTGCTCATAGTGTGTTCTTATAATTGTCTGTATTTCTTTGGTGTTAGTTGTGATCTCTCCTCTTTCATTCATGATTTTATTTATTTGGGTCCTTTCTCTTTTCTTTTTGATAAGTCTGGCCAGGGGTTTATCAATCTTATTAATTCTTTCAAAGAACCAGCTCCTAGTTTCATTATTTTTGTTCTATTATTTTTGTTTGTTTGTTTCTATTTCATTGATTTCTGCTCTGATCTTTATGATTTCTCTTCTCCTGCTGGGTTTAGGGTTTCTTTCTTATTCTTTCTCCAGCTCCTTTAGGTGTAGGGTTAGGTTGTGTACCTGAGACCTTTCTTGTTTCTTTTCTTTTTTTAAAGATCTTATTTATTTATTTGACAGAGAGAGATCACAAGTAGACGGAGAGGCAGGCAGAGAGAGAGAGAGAGAGGGAAGCAGGCTTCTTGCTGAGCAGAGAGCCCGACGCGGGACTCGATCCCAGGACCCTGAGATCATGACCTGAGCCGAAGGCAGCAGCCCAACCCACTGAGCCACCCAGGCGCCCCGACCTTTCTTGTTTCTTGAGAAAGGCTTGTACCGCTATATATTTTCCTCTCATGACTGCCTTGTGTCCCACAGATTTTGAACTGTTGTGTTTTCATTATCATTTGTTTCCATGAATTTTTTCAATTCTTCTTTAATTTCCTGGTTGACCCATTCATTCTTTAGAAGGATGCTGTTTAGTCTCCATGTATTTGGGTTCTTTCCAAATTTCCTCCTGTGATTGAGTTCTAGCTTCAGAGCATTGTGGTCTGAAAATATGCAGGGAAGGATCCCAATCTTTTGATACCAGTTGAGACCTGATTTAGGACCGAGGATGTGATCTATTCTGGAGAATGTTCCATGTGCACTAGAGAAGAATGTGTATTCTGTTGCTTTGGGATGAAATGTTCTGAATATATCTGTGATGTCCATCTGGTCCAGTGTGTCATTTAAGGCCTTTATTTCCTTGTTGATCTTTTGCTTGGATGATCTGTCCATTTCAGTGAGGGGAGTGTTAAAGTTCCCTACTATTATTGTATTATTGTTTGATGTGTTTCTTTGACTTTGTTATTAATTGGTTTATATAGTTGGCTGCTCCCACGTTAGGGGCATAGATATTTAAAATTGTTAGATCTTCTTGTTGGACAGATCCTTTGAGTATGATATAGTGTCCTTCCTCATCTCTTATTATAGTCTTTGGCTTAAAATCTAATCGATCTGATATAAGGATTGCCACCCCTGCTTTCTTCTGATGTCCATTAGCATGGTAAATTCTTTTCCACCCCCTCACTTTAAATCTGGAGGTGTCTTCGGGTTTAAAATTAGTTTCTTGTAGGCAACATATAGATGGGTTTTGTTTTTTTTATCCATTCTGATACCCTGTGTCTTTTGATTGGGGCATTTAGCCCATTAACATTCAGGGTAACTATTGAGAGATATGAATTTAGTGCCATTGTATTGCCTGTAAGGTGACTGTTATTGTATATTGTCTCTGTTCCTTTCTGATCTACTACTTTTAGGGTCTCTCTTTGCTTAGAGGACCCCTTTCAGACACCTTTCACTGGAAATAGTAAAGTTGACTAGGCACAGCCAACCTCCTAATTCAAAATTTTTGCTAATTAAGCAAAAACTTGTTTGGTGTCTATATCCTGGCTGAGGTAAGCCTAACCATACCTAGAATTATCTGGTCTAGTCTCTCATCCATGCAGAAGAATGACTACTTTTTAGCTACATGTTGGATACTCTAAGTCTAAGAAAATGCCATTCTTCTGCATGAGTGGGAGCCTAGACCACATAATTCTAGATACATTAAAGCCATTTAGATCCAAATGAAGAAGCCCGTATCTTCTGCCCCTCAGTCCTGGACTTCAGCTCAGGAGAATCTGCTCTCTCTTTCCACTTTAGCACTGGACCCTGCAGAAATTGCCCTCACAGTCATCATGACCTTGCTTGCCCTGGGCTCAGTCATCATCTTCCTGGAGGATGCTGTCTACCTGTACAAGAACACACACTGTCCCATCAAGAGGACCACCCTGCTCTGGAGCAGCTCTGCACCCACGGTAAGGGCCTTGTAGCTGCCCTTTGGGAGAGACTAAACAATTAGAGGAATTTTGAGAATTCCTCTAAACTCAGCAATCCAAGTCACCAGAGGGTTGCCTGCTTCTACGCACTTAGAATAGGGGGTTGTAATTTCCGATTGCAGTCAGGACCCCGTGCTTGGAAAGCCAACAATTAGTGGGACAGCGAGTTTGAATTCTTAGAGCCAGGAGACAGGTAGAGAAACTGCTCAGCCCACCAGCATCCCTACTCACTACTTCTGGCCACAGTATTACTGTTAAAAGAAATATCCCTTCCTGTAGAGGAAAGCAGTGGTTCCTCAGAGGGGAAAGAGGGAAACTATTTTTTCCCCATAGGGACATACTCAGCTCAACCCTTATATTGTAGATCTTTTTAACTCACCCTCACAGACATTATATAGGTCTCTGGCTTGCTCCCAGGACCTAAGACTGGACTTCCATTTCTTTGTAAGGTCTGTGTGTGTGTGTCTGGGGTGCAGAATGGAGCCCTTGAGGTCCTTTTCTACCAGAGGACACCTGCCTGGGCCATCTCAAGTCATCAGAGATGCTCTAGTAACATGCGATGTTGAAAAGGAAGGGTTGGATCTTGACCCAATTCCTCCTAAGGATGAACTTACCTACACTACTCCAGGGGTATAGGATGAGATAATCTTCAAACAAGCACCAGACTTAAGGTGACCTGCTGTCTCTAACCCTAGATAGAGAAGGAAATGACCACTGAATTTAAAAAAAAAAAAGAACCTTAAAAAATTAGTTGACTTCTTAAAATTAACTATTTTTCCAGCCAACCATTTGAAGTAATGACACCCCAACTGTTAAGGTTTTGCTTCCTTGAGCCCTTGCCATAAAATGTTTGAGAGAGTGAGCACAAAGACTCCTTTCTTGCTGCAAACAGCTTCTCGCTCCTCTCCAAGTAGGTCGTGTCTGTGTTCTGCTGTTTTGGTCTCTGGATCCCTCGTTCACTCATGCTCGTGGAAATGGCCATTACCTCGTGAGTGTCCTGCCCCACCTCCAGCTCTGAGCTGGTCACCCTTTTGCTCCCCACTCACCCAGGACCCAGGACTCCAGGGTCCACATTTTCTTTTAACCCATATCCCTTCCCTAAATCCCTGCAAACCAATCGATCGTGAATCTAGCCCCTTTCAACTTGTGCTAATCAGGTCCCTTGAACTCCTGGTTCTGTTCATCCTCAGTCAATCATTTTGTTCCTCCAGGACCCAATTCCCCTCTTCCTCAGCCCCGGACCCTCTCCTGTCTCTCCCTCTTGCTGGGTCACATACTCTACCTGGTCCCTACTATGTCCCCCTCAGTGAGCCCCATCTCTGTTGCACCCTTTGTAGTCTGGTATCCCCTCAGCAGGCTACCACTTCCCCTCTGTGAGGCTCACCTCTGTTCCCACTCCAGGTTTTACGCAGTATACTTTTACCTGCTGATGAGGGTCATGGTGGAAGGCTTTGGTGGGAAGGAGGCAGTAATGAGGACACTGAAGGACACTCCAATGATGGTCCACACAGGCCCCTGCTGCTGCTGCTGCCCCTGCTGCCCCCCACTCATGCTCACCAGGTGAGGTGGGAGCGAGAGGCTTCCTCAAGGAAAAGGTTAGCCTCTTCCTGCATTCCCCCAAAAGCCTCTCTGGCTCTCTCAGCTCTGCTTCAAGTCTCTTAGAATCAGGCAGGTATGGAACAAAGCCAGTGATGAGAGGGTGGGCATCTCACAGCCACCACCAACACAGGGGTGAGGAGAGCAGAGGAAGGAGAACTCCAATTTCCATCCCTTAAGCTCACTGCTGCCCACAAACTTCAGCCATTTGGAGCAAAGTGGACTTTGGGCTACTTACTTGTCCCTTTTGCCCATTTTGGTTAATGAGATTGGGGTCAACATTCTGATAGTTCTTGCCCAAAAGGCAGCATTCTGGTCTGGGGGGATGAGTGGGAGACAAGAAGAGAGTTTCCAATGCTCTCAACATTCTGGCTTCTTCCTATGTCCCCATCCATCTAGCCATTTTGGTGTCTATTATGGCAGCCAAGCCTCAGCTCAGGAGCCCAGTGAGGGACCTGGAAGGTGTTCTTGAGGTAGGCAGTTTGTGGGTTCATGTTCCTAACCCTCTTCTTCCTTCAGGAAGAAGCTTCAGCTGCTGATGTTGGGCCCGTTCCAGTATGCCTTCTTCAAGATAACACTGAGCCTCGTGGGCCTGTTTCTCATCCCCGATGGCATCTTTGACCCAGCAGACGTAAGCCAGGAGTAAGGGGCAGCAAAGTCTAAGACTCACTTAGTACCTCTGAGCTCTAGAAGGAAGAGCTGGAGCCAACATCCGCTGCAACAGGGCCCCACAGGCAGGGTAGCGCCAGCAACAGTGTGGCCATGGAAAAGTAGAGGCTTGGAGACTGGTGGGGAGAGGAGAGTGGAACAGGTCAAGGCTTTGGGGCTTTTTTTAAATTACCTTTCCCACTATGGAAGAGGAGAAATAAAAGGAGGAGAAAAGGCTCACCTCCCTCACTACTTTTTGATCTGCCACCAGATTTCTGAGGAAAGCACAGCTCTGTGGATCAACACTTTCCTCGGTGTGTCTACCCTGTTGGCTCTCTGGGCCCTGGCCATCATTTTCCGTCAAGCCAAGATGCACCTGGGCGAGCAGAATATAGGAGCCAAATTCGTCCTCTTTCAGGTAACTATACCCTGGAAAAGAAAAGCTGGTTAATATTAGAGCTACCAACAACTGGGGTTAGGAACTGAGACTAATAAACACCAAAAGTGGGTCTGGGAATCTTCTTAAGCCTAGGTTTCCTATGAGATATAGAAAATGATTCCTGTCCCTTCCCAGTTTTTGCTTTTCTGTGCTGTAATAGCTTCCTAGCACCGCCCTCAAAAAGGATCATAAACTGGGTGGCTTAAAACAACAAAAATTTCTTGTCTCACAGTTCTGGAGGCTAGAAGTCCAAAATCAAGGACGGGGTCAGCCAGGCCACACTCCCTCTGAAACCTATAGGGGAGAATTCTTCCTTGCCTCTTCCTAACTTCTGGTGGTTGGCCAGCGATCACCAGCTAGCAGCTGCATCATGGATTTTGTCTCCTTATGACATGGCACGTGTCATGTGTCGTCTCTTTTCCTCTTCTTAGAAGGACAACAGTATATGGGAATAAGGACCCTCCAGCACGATGTCATCTTCATGATACCTAATCAGTTAACCAAAATGATGATGCTATTTCCAAATAAGATCACATTCTGAGATACTGGGGTTGGGACTTCAAAATATTACTTTAGGGACCCACTTCAACTCTTAAAACATGTATTATCAACCTTAAAATCTTCTCCCTTTACTTTTTCCTACCCAATACTTTCTAAAGCTCTATAATTCATCAATACCAGGAGCACCAGCATGATCATAGTTGTGAACTACTTTCACCACGTTTGGGACTCTTCATACATTTACCTCTAAATTCTCACAATCATCTTAGGAGTCATTATTATTCCTATTGTGCAAATGAGGCCCAGAGATGTCTTCGGGCTTGCTCGAAGGCATGTAGTTATGAGGCCAGAATTTAAATCTAGATCTAACTCTCAGATCCACATTCCTTCTTCTCATCACACTGCCTCTTCACCTGCACACCTCTCTCGAAGTTCTCTGCAAGGCACATTTTTTCACTTTTACACTTTCCATTTTCTAAAGCCTAGAGAACTTCCACCAAATGCAATGATTTCTAGCCTAATCTTGTTTTCCTTCTCTCTCCACTTTTTCTGTCTCCTTGCTAGGCCCTTTTCCTATTCCCACAGCATAGTGACTGCTTTGTAGTTAACAGTGAGATTTCACATAAATTCTCATTTGATCTAAGCAGATGCCTCCAAGATGTGGATTTCTGGGCACACAGTAGGTAGAATTGAAGACGAGATGGGCCAGAAGAGCCTGAAATGAGTCAGGGACTGAAAGGGCAGAAAAGATCTGGGCCGCAGAAGCATTTAGGGTCATGCCACGGGCTAAAAGTCCTGTGACTGCCAGGCCTGCCCGTGACTATTGGGGGACGCCTGCCCTGAAGAGGCTGATTCTTCAGAAAAGAGCACTCGGGGGCACAGGTGTTGATGAAGCCTCTGGACAGAGATTTTCTTTTTCTTCTTTTTTTCCTCATTGTATCAAAATATACATAAAATTTACCATTTTAACTATTTTTAAGTGTAGAGTTCAGTGGCATTATGTGCATTCACATTGTTGTGCAATCATCACCACCATCCATTTCCAGACTTTTTTCGCCTTCCACGCAGAGACTCTGTACCTTTTGAACATTAATTCCCCTTTCCCCCTTTCCCCCAGGGCCTGGCACTGTAGAGATTTTTCAAAGGGCGCTTTCCTTCATGGCCAGTTGCCCATCATTTTAGGAGCAGGGAATCTTAGGTCCTTGAGCCAGATGGAAACGGTCTTCTCTAACCATCCACCCTGTTCATTCACTGAGTACTCATTAGTAGCCATGGCTGAGATAGGGAAACAAACATGGACCCCAAATCAGTTCTTGTTTCTTGTCACATCTCATAAAATATTGGGTAGAAGACAAAGATTATAATTTGCCTAAGGATTACAAGTCCACAAAACTTTACTTAAGTGAGTTTCAACCCTCTGTAACTGCCAGATCAAAAGGTCAGCTGACTGCACTGTGGAAGGCCAAGCACAGCAGTGCGCCGACTGGCCTCAGTGCCACGGGTGCTGGGCCTCTCCTGCCCTTGCTTCTCTTCTGTTCTGCAGGTGCTCCTCATCCTGACTGCCCTGCAGCCATCCATCTTCTCAGTCTTGGCCAACAGTGGGCAGATTGCTTGTTCACCTCCCTTTTCCTCTAAAATCAGGTCTCAAGGTGAGCACAGAAGAGTTCCTCTCTTATTCCAGAATGGGTGAGAAGGGAGGGTCAGGGAAGAGAGGACCTTAGAACAGAGGTTGGGCCAGCCTGGCTTCTGCTCAGAATACTCAGAAAGGCATCACCAAGAAGTCTTAGTGGGGTTTTAAGGAGATGGTGACTTCTCTGACCACACAGAGAGCTGCAATCCCACAGCTTGAGGCCAACCCTGATGGCCAACCCAGGAAGCCATAGGTTCAATTCCCAGCTTCTGGGAGAGGAATGGGTGTGGTCTGAAAGTGGGTCATGCTGATAGGGGCACCTGGGTGGCTCAGTTGGTTAAGCATATCTGACTCTTCGATGTCTGCTTGGGTCATGATCTCAGGGTTGAAGGCTCGAGCTCCACATCAGGCTCCATACTAAGCATGGAACCTGCTTGGGATTCTCTCTGTCCCTCTGCCCCTCCCCACTGCTTACTCTCTCTCTCAAAAAAAAAAAAAAAAAAAAAAAAAGGAACATGATGCTCATAAAACATGCAAAAGAAATGGGGTTTAATGCTAGTCTCAGATTGCAGAAGGTGGAGAGTCAAGTTCCAGTTTTGGCTTTACCATTAATCTGCTACGTTACTTATGACAACTTAGTATCTCTAGACATGGTTTGAGGACAAATTGGAGAAAGTTTTGCTGAACTCACATGCCAGGGCTGCTAGAGGGATACCATCTCTACAATTTAGGATAACTTACATTATATTTCACTCCATGCTGCAGTTATGAATTGCCACCTCCTCGTACTGGAGACTTTTCTAATGACTGTGCTGACACGCATGTACTACCGAAGGAAAGACAACAAGGTTGGATATGAACCTTTTTCTTCCTCAGACCTGGATTTGACTTCAAATTCCAAAGTGGACATTGAAAGAGACACTGTACACATTAAATGGGCACAAGATTTCCTCACTGCCCCTCAACCTTGACCACAGGGGAATGGATTCCATTTCCAGAACAAGGTGACAGATTACATTTGACTGTAGGAGATGAAGAATTATGGAATAGAATGCAATTATTTTGGACCTTGTCTGGAGAAGGTATTTTAAGTTTTATAATAAACAGGATAGAGTTTAAAATTCTACAGTTGGGTACATTGCCTCTGTGGGTGACACTATTAGCCCTTGAAGCTTGTATATTGAAAGGTCACTCTGAGTTTTCCCAAAGCCAATGAAAGGGGGGGAAAGTATGTGGTAGTTTGCCTGTTATAAGAACAGGAGAAGAAATCAACCAGGCAAGCCTTTACAATTATTGTGGCATTACTTACAATAACCAAAATATGGAAGCAACGTAAGTGTCCATCAATAGAAGAATGGATAAGGAAAATGTGGTATAGCTATACAATGGAATATTATACAGCCATAAAAAGGAGACCATGCCATTTGAGACAACATGGATGGACCTAGAGGGTATTATGCTAAGTGAAATTAGTCAAACTGAAAAAGGCAAATACCATATGATTCCACTCTAAATGGAATCTAAAAGAAAATGAATAAACAAATGAAAAGCAGAATCAGAACTATAAATACAAAGAACTGACGGTCCTGAGGAGATGAGGTGAGGGGTTGGGCAAAATGGGCCAAGAGGAGTGGGAGATATGGGCCTTCAGTTGTGGAATGAGTTCGTCACAAGAACAAAAAGAGCATAAGGAATACAGTCAATGAGGGGCACCGGGGTAGCTCAGTTGATTAAGCATCTGACTCTTGAGTTTGGCTCAGGTCATGATCTCAAGCCCTGTGTCGGGCTCTGCGCTCAGTGCAAAGTCTACTTAAGATCCTTTCTCCCTCTCCCTCTGCCCATGCACACCTGCTCTCACTCTCTCAAATAAATAAATAAAATCTTAAAAAAAAAAAGGAATACAGTGAATGATATTGTAATAGCAATGTAATGGGACAGATGGTAGCAATACTTGTGGTGAACAAAGCATAATGTATAAACTTGCCAAACCACTAAGCTGTACACCTGAAACTAATGTAACATGGTATGTCAACAACAACAACAAAAAAGGAACTCAACCAGGCAAAAATAGTACAAACCTGAAGTCTCAGAAGAAACCAGGCTTCTGAAGATCAGATGGAAGGTATTCTTTCCCTTATAGATGTGTCATTAGGGCACTGATGACATTAGACCTCATAGATCTGGATCAGCCTCCCTTAGAGCGCCAATGGCTTTTTGAGCCTTCTATGCAAAGCTGCAAAAGGATTTCCCTCAGAATATGGTCGTGGAACAATTTTGAGGAGACAAATTAGGATGCAAAAGCAAAAGAACTGCGGGTTTAGGTAAAAGTCCCAAATAAATAAAACATCTTATACACATGTATACCAGGTCATAAACACAAGAAATGGTACATTAGGTAAAACCACTTTGCCTTTATTTGGCTAAATGACAAAGGCCCAAATAACTGGAACAAATCAATAACACTCACATAGGAAAACAATATATTGAACACCGATTGAGGAAAACACCCTGTGGATGCTGGCACTGCGGATGGGACTAACATTCATATCAAAGCTAGCGTTTCTTCCACCTTTTTCTTTTCAGGATCCTCCCTACAAAGCAACCCAACCAATCAAGTCTCTGTGTTTAAAATAGTCAGTGCCCCCTGAAGAAGGGTGGGAAAGCTCTCTTTAAACCTAAAGGAACACAACCTGAGTCATCCTAGTGTTAAACCTAGCACTTTGTTTTCTACCCCAATCTGAGTATTAACATAAAACTTTGGCAGATAGAAAATCTTTCCTCTTTCTTTTAGAGAAAATTAACATTTAATAATATAATCCCAAGAATATGTTCTACTTATTTGGAAAAATAGAAGCTAGGGACCACTCTTTATCCTATGACAATTTATTCTATGAGAGAAAACAAAAACATCATTGTATGACTTTGAAAAATACAACCTTTAAAAATACGTACATTGGTAAGCTTAAAAAAAATACCATTAGTTAAAACCATTATTAAGGGAGCTTTTTTTCCCTACCTGTTATTAGTTCAACTTCTGGTGAAAGGGTGTGCTGACAGAAAATGTAGAAGCTATGGCTTTTAGGAATTAAAGAAAAGCAGCAAAATATAATCGATTTGGAAAGATTTTAGATAGATCTAAAACAGGGTCAGAAAGGCAATGAGCTCCAGAATAGCAAAAGTTACCCACAGATTAAGATAATCCAGAGAAACCAAAGCACTGTGAAGAATCATCACAGGGAGAATATCCAGAGGCTGCCTGACCAGTTGTGTGGTCACAAGTAAAATAAGAAAAATCTAACTCAGGTGCTGCGTTATCGGCAATCAGATAAAGTCAAAAGTTCTCTTGACCTCCTTCATATTTTTTCTTATTTAGGATCTTCAACGTCCTCATATCCCCAACCTTCTTACCCAACCCTTAGCAAAATAATGCTCTTTGGCTCTAATTGTCAGAAACGGTGGCAGCAGTACAAAGGATCTGCTTCTACTGCTCGAAAGTTTCAACCTCTCCTCCTTACTGCTACCGAGTCTAGTGTATGAAAAGAGCAAACTTTCTGCCCAGACATCCCAAGATAACTAAAGTAGCACCTCCTCAGCATTCTGAGGAGGACGGAATGTCTCCGTTCTTCCGTCTTACAGACTGGGCTCTGAAGCCAACCAGTGTTTAAGGCTCTCCCACTTCTGCTACATTTGGCTTATTGCTTTGTGTGTGGGATTCAGGGAAATAGATAATAATATTAATATTAGAAATCAATCTTAACAGTTCATATTAAAATTAATAATAGCAGATTTACAGATCACAGGCATGGTCATGGTAGGCAAACCACTAACTTCATTTAATTAGGCACAAATGATCAAATAATACATCATCCCGACAGCTTCTTCCCTCCACCCATCCTTGTCCAGCACCTAGGATCCCATTTACCCCAAAGTAGCTAATATGCCACACCATAAATTTTCATCTTCAAGTCAAAATTACTTCAAGATGCACTAGTGTTAGGAGACTGAGGCCACAGAGGCTCGTCAAAAGGGGTGAGAGGGCTTTCCAAGCACATGTGCATATGCTGGACCTGGCAGTCTCAGAGAACTTACCAGCAGAGCGGTTATATTCCAAGGGCAGGGAATGCCAAAAGTAGCCCACTGACAGAGCAGAGGAAGAGATCCCCGACAGTATACTTGAGAGGAGTGACACACAGGGTGCAAAACCACATTCTGAGCATCTCCCTTGCCAGATACACTTGGTCAATATGTACCTTGAGGGAATAGGTAGGTGACCTTCAGTGATTTCATTATCTTTCTGTACCAAGGAAAATAAGACAGAAGTAGGCAAAATTCCCAAAGAGGGAAGACTAAAGCAGAAAAGTTAAAATACGTGATCCTATGAAGCTTGTTAATGGAGGAAAACAAGAACTTGTACTGTTGCAAAAAAAGGATTCCAAGCCAAAGCTCATGTAAACCATATCTGATAGCAAAAATAGCACTTCACGAGAAGAGTCAGAAATGTAGTTTTTGTAAGCCATCATGACAACAAGAGATTCCCCTCTTTGTGTCTCTACTCTGCTATACTCTGTCTCTCTGGGTGATCAGGAGTTATAAGAAACCAGGCAGTCCTGCTGTGATTCTAGCCTGATCCTCAGGCAGAAGAGCAGGTTTTACCAGAAAATATTTAGGGAGGAGACTATGAGATGCTCACAGCCCTAGCACTGGGGAAAGCAAAGATAAAATGTGGTTTTCTTAGCTGAAAACACCAAAACTCCACCCCACAAGGGGTATTTATGAGTGACAGGGTGGGGCCTGGACATAAGCAATTTTCCCCTGAACCCAGCTACAGGATTACTGAAGATGATGGTCTCCTCAGTCATGTAAGGGCACAATGCTAGAGGCTTAAAATGAGCTCATGCTCAACTGCAAGTGTTAAGCTTCAGCATCTCTGATGTGGGATATAAGTGGTGAATCCTCCTGGGCAACCTAACGGGAGCAGTGGGACCATAACCACCAGGCACACCTGGGAAAAGGAGAGAACCTGCCATTTTCTTGTAATCTTCTGTGGCCTGCTGGAGGGGCAGCGGAGGGAAGTCCCAACCAGCTGCAACTCTCAGAGGAAAAGAAACACTACCTGGAGCATTAGTTCCAGTCAAGAATATTCTTAAGAAGGACAGAGTTCAAGATAAGGCTTTAGGAAGGGGGGGGGGTGTTTCTTTATGCTTTTGTGTTTAAATTCTGTGCAAATCTCTCTAAATATTCAGTATGGCTTTGAGCAACATGGATTAACAGATCATGTTCAAACTGCAGACATTTACAAAGTATCCTCTGTAAAAAGCTAGGTAATAAGCACGAAATAGCAGGGCCAGGGACTTACTCACAGATGGGAAAATTAACCTAACCTGACCCTGTATAGGATTGAGTATTGTCCCACTCCCCTCCCCAATCACAATAAATCTGGACGTGTTCCTGCCTTCGAAGGTAGACTGTAGGAAAGAGATTGACGAGAGCTCCCAAATAATTGGGTGAGTGTTTTCTGAGAAGATGAACACAGCAGGAAAACCATAGCTGATGCCATGTGGTCTGGTTCCATCCCCATCAGTGTCTTCCATGGACCCCATTGGGTCCAACAAGAAACTCCTCAGGGAGTAAGAAAAGTTAGGCTCAGATCTCCTTCTTCTCACAGCCAGCCACATTGACACATGTGCCAGCAGTACATTTAGGGGATTTGTGTCTGAGTTTACTTAGCTTTTAGCTTTTTTGTTAAGGACACCAATTATGCTATTTCCCCTGCCCCCTGAAATCACTCATCAGCATGGCTCATTGCTTGAAAGACTTGGCAAGCCACTCTGCCTCAGAACAGAAGGCAAACACTATAGTGTATCAGGAAGAAAAGGCCTCTGAGTAATATACCACTTCCTTCTGCCCACTCCTCAGGGGCAAAAAATTAGTTCTACTTACAACATTTGAAAGACTAATTTTTAAAAAATTAATAAAAATGACAATTTCCCTGTCAAAATCACATGAACATAAACAGTAAAGCAAAGTCTGTAGGGAGGGTATATGGATGCAGTACAGGTTTCTGAGGTGCAGTCAGCCTCCTTCTTGGTGTGGATGGGTGATGTCTCCTGGAGAATAGGCTGTCTGATCCCATCCTAGGTCCTCCTGCCCCAACTTTCTTTCCTTTGTAGCTGTCCTTAGGTTTAGTGTCGGAATCACAATTCGAAATTCAACAGAGAGCTTCTGAAGGTGATGGGACAGAGGGAGGGGACAGGAAAGAAGGGATGAAAACTTAGTCTTCTTCATCCTCACTGATATCATAAGCTGCAGCCT